ACCTCAGTGTGTGAGCTGAATGCGCTAGTGTTCGAGCTACAGGACACCATGACCTAATAATTTCATGATCCAGTGGTTGTGTTAAAGATGCTGTATTTGATGGTAAACCACAACTTTTATAGGTGGATGCACATCCAACAAAGCTTCTGGTTAGGAATGAGAATTATCAAGAGTGAAGAGAACCTTGAATGCAAAATTCTTGCTGTGCAGGTAAAACATGACTTCAGGAATTAAGTGATATTCAACCAGTCAATATATAGTTCCTCTGTCATTGATGTTGACTGGTTTGACCTCCAAAGAACTGGTAAGGTGCTTTTATCTACACCTTTCATAACACACACAGTCATGGAGTGTCTTACACTTAAAATCATCTGATGCATTACTGCAAAAGAGCAAGTTGATGTGATCCTTGGCTGCCTTGAATCCCAGTCCACTTTTCTCTTCTTGACTGATTTAAGTTGTTGTTGGTATCTTCTTCCACTACACATTAAACACTTGCTATGGCTCGTAGCCACCCTCAGAAATAAGTTCTTGTAATTCAGCAGGGAAATTTAATGTAGCTGTTTGGTCAGCTGAATTACTTTTACCAGAAAACTTAATACATGTATTATGTAACCTGTTATGCAACTTGAACTTGTGAAACCAACTTGTGCAAAACAAACACTCTTGTTCATGCCTTCCTTCTGTATCACACACTGTTTTATAGTACTCTAAGGCTCTTTTTCCTTATCAAGATGAAATTAAGTGATGCATCTTTCTTCTTGGTGGTTTTGTTCAATCCACTCAGTAACTTTTCTGTCTTATTGACCAGTTGATGTCACAACCTGGATTACTTATTGCACAAGCCGGTATATTTACCTCAATCCTTTTAATTGAATGAACTGATGCTTCATTGAGACCATAAACTCTTACCGTCTCCACCACACCTGCACCATTTCTATGTGTATCTAATATCTCAATTTTCTTCACAACACCAAGACTTCAACACTTAAACTTTGTCTTGCCACTTGCAGCATCACTCACATTCCTCTTGGCTGCCATGGTTACTATAAAGACAAACTGTGATGATGAAAAGATAAAAAATCGATTAACAAATACTACATGGAGCACCGAGACATGAGAGGTGGAATGGGGGGAAGTGGGGGAGACTACTAGGCCTATAGCCTATCCCCTTCTGACCCACAGGCTGGCTACCAATGAGACAGAGGGAAAAACTCCTGCAGTCCATCTCCACAATGCTCCAAATTTTCCTCCCTGAAGTTACACCATCATAAAAAGAAAATGCCACAAGTTTTCAACTGTCATATATCGGAAACATTGTAGATGATCGCTTCTTAACCCTTAAATGGTCCAAACGTATACAGTGGACCCCCGGTTCACGATATTAATCCATTCCTGAGAGCTCATCGTAAACCAAAATTATCGGAAAGCGAATCAATTTTCCCCATAAGAAATAATGGAAATCAAATTAATCCGTGCAAGACACCCAAAAGGATGAAAAAAAGACTTTTACCACGTGATATATTAAGTTTAATGCAATATAATAATTACAGTAGCAATAATAACAATAGAATAATCACAAAAGAATAATTGACACTTACCTTTAATGAAGATCTGGTGATGATTGATGGGATGGGATGGGAGGAGGGGAGAGTGTCGAAGTTTTTAATGTTTAGAAGGGGAATCCCCCTCCATTAGGACTTGAGGTAGCAAGTCCTTTTCCGGGGTTACTTCCCTTCTTCTTTTAATGCCACTAGGACCAGCTTGAGAGTCACTGGACTTCTGTCACACAACATATCTGTCCATAGAGGCCTGTACCTCTCGTTCCTTTATGACTTCCCTAAAGTGGTTCACATCATTGTCAGTGTACAGGTTGCCAACATGGCTTGCAGTAGCTGTGTCAGGGTGATTTTCATCAAAAAAGGTTTGCACTTCAAGCCACTTTGCACACAATTCCTTAATTTCAATAGCCATTAGCACCCTTGGTCTCAATGGGTTGGCGCTAGAAGCTTTCTTGGGGCCCATGGTGACTTATTTTGCAGAAAAAAACACCAAAAACAGTGATAATATGGATAATATAGAATGTACCGAATGTATCCTTAGATGCGCTCACACTGGCTGGCTTGTAAACACTGGACACGTCTCGTACGAATCGTATGGCATACCGGGTTTTGTAACGGGAACCGAGGCAAATTTTTTTGCAATATAATGCTTCGGATACTGGATTTATCGGATACCGATGTCTTCGCGAACCGGGGGTCCACTGTATATATGTTTTTTCAACATCTGAAAGTATGTAAAAAATGTAGATCTTCTTTTTTGTTTTACATTTGAAAACGTGTAAAAAACTTTTATCTACATTTTTTTTTGTTATTTTCAAAATATGTAAAAAAAGTAGATCTACTTTTGTAGCACTACGAATTTGAACGTTGATCTGTTTGGACCGTTTAAGGGTTAATTGACAGTCTACTGTATGTATATTTTACTAAACTGTTTCCTCAAATATTACAAACAGTTTTTCTTTTAATAATACAGTGGACCCTCAACCAGCGATATTAATCCGTTCCTGAGAGCTCATCGTTAGTCAAAATTATCGTTAGTCATGTTAATTTTCCCCATAAGAAATAATGGAAATCAAACTAATCCGTGCAAGACACCCAAAAGTATTGAAAAAAAAAAAAATTTTACCACATGAAATATTAATTTTAATACACATAAACTGAAGATTACATGCACAGTTACATGACACTTACCTTTATTGAAGATCTGGTGATGATTGATGGGATGGGAGGAGGGGAGAGGTGTTAGTGTTTAGAAGGGGAATCCCCTTCCATTAGCACTTGAGGCAGCAAGTCTTTTTCTGGGGTTACTTCCCTTGTTCTTTTAATGCCACTAGGACCAGCTTCAGAGTCACTGGACTTCTGTCGCACAACATATCTGTCCATAGATACCTGTACCTCTCGTTCCTTTATGACTTTCCTAAAGTGGTTCACAACATTGTCAGTGTACAGGTTGCCAACACGGCTTGCAGTAGCTGTGTCAGGGTGATTTTCATCAAAAAAGGTTTGCACTTCAAGCCACTTTGCACACATTTCCTTTATCTTAGAAGTAGGCAACTTCTTCAATTTCTCTCTCCCCTCCTCCGAAGCAGTTTCCTCAGGTCTGCCCTCTTGCTGTTCAAGATGATCTAGCAGCTCATCAGTGGTTAGTTCTTCACTGTCCTCCACCACCAACTCTTCCACATCCTCCCCACTAACCTCCAGCCCCAAGGACTTCCCCAATGCCACAATGGATTCCTCAACTGGCATAGGATTCTCAGGGTTAGCCTCAAACCCTTCAAAATCCCTTTTGTCTACACATTCTGGCCACAGTTTTTTCCAAGCAGAGTTCAATGTCCTCTTAGTCACTTCCTCCCAAGCCTTACCTATAATGTTTACACAATTGAGGATGGTAAAATGATCTTTCCAAAACTCTCTTAGAGTCAGTTGAGTTTCTGAGGTCACTACAAAGCACCTTTCAAACATAGCTTTTGTGTACAGTTTCTTGAAGTTGGAAATAACCTGCTGGTCCATGGGCTGCAGGTGAGGAGTGGTATTAGGAGGCAAAAACTTCACCTTAATGAGGCTCATGTCCCTAGAAAGTCGCTCTGCCACATCTGTAGGATGACCAGGGGCATTGTCTAATACCAGGAGGCACTTAAGGTCTAATTTCTTTTCAATTAGGTAATTTTTCACATTGGGGGCAAATGCATGGTGTAACCAGTCATAGAAAAAGTCCCTAGTGACCCATGCCTTACTGTTTGCCCTGCACAGCACACACAAATTTGCCTTGAGGACATTGTTTTTCCTGAACACTCTGGGGGTTTCAGAGTGATACACCAATAAAGGCTTCACTTTGCAATCACCACTAGCATTGGCACACATCAACAGAGTAAGCCTGTTTTTCATAGGCTTATGTCCTGGGAGTGCCTTTTCCTCCTGAGTAATGTATGTCCTGCTTGGCATTTTCTTCCAAAACAGGCCTGTTTCATCACAATTAAACACTTGTTCAGGTTTCAGTCCTTCACTGTCTATGTACTCCTTGAAGTCTTGCACATATTTTTCAGCCGATTTGTGGTCCGAACTGGCAGCCTCACCATGCCTTATCACACTATGAATGCCACTATGCTTCTTAAATCTCTCAAACCAACCTTTGCTGGCCTTAAATTCACTCACATCACTAGTTGCTGGCATTTTTTTAATTAAATCGTCATGCAACTTCCTAGCCTTTTCACATATGATCGCTTGAGAGATGCTGTCTCCTGCTATCTGTTTCTCGTTTATCCACACCAATAACAGTCTCTCAACATCTTCTATCACTTGCGATCTCAGTTTCGAAAACATAGTTGCACCTTTGGCAAGAACAGCTTCCTCGATTGCTGTTTTCTTGCCCACAATAGTAGCGATGGTTGATTGGGGTTTATTATACAACCTGAGCAGCTCAGACACACACACTCCACTTTCATACTTAGCAATGATCTCTTTCTTCATCTCCATAGTAATTCTCACCCTTTTTGCTGTAGGGTTGGCACTAGAAGCTTTCTTGGGGCCCATGGTGACTTATTTTGCAGGTGCAATCACTACAAAGGCTGTGATAATATGAAATGTTCCAGTTGTATGTTTGGAAGCGACCGCGGTGGCTGGCTGGCTTGTAAACACTGGCACCAAGAGACAAGTGAGGCGCACTCAGGCCAAAGTGGACGCGTATGGTACGGAACGAATAGCACTGGTCAGGTTTTTAAGCGCTAGTCGAGGCAAAATTTTTTCGTTAAAATGTATCGCTAGTCAGATTTATCGTTAATCGATGCCATCGCTGGTTGAGGGTCCACTGTAATTTTATGTGGTCCCATATACAATTTATAAATTTATTTTTTTAATGTTTTTTAAATTTAAGTATTAAATTTTGTAAATTTCCTTTTCGACATATTAGTTTTTCTAAAAAAAAATTTATGTCAAGGTTCTTCCATGTTTGGTCGTGCTCTTACAATTGGAAGAGTTGAGACATCACTAAACAATAGCAAGAGTAATGAGGCCATGAAAGAAGGAATGAGGAAAGGCAAGATGAAGGGAGGAAGTCTTCAAGATGAGGGAGATGAGAGAGAATATTCAAGAACAATCAAAGAAAGCTTAGGTGTTGGAGACTTCCTTAACTTCACACTGGAGGAATCAGGTTTGTTCTTAACTGCACACTGGAGGAACCAAGTTTGTTCTTAACTGCACACTGGAGGAACCAGGTTGGTTCTTAACTCCACACTGGAGGAACCAGGTTTGTTCTTAACTCCACACTGGAGGAACCAGGTTGGTTCTTAACTCCACACTAGAGGAACCAGGTTTGTTCTTAACTCTGCACTGGAGGAACCAGGTTGGTTCTTAACTCCACACTGGAGGAGCCAGGTTTGCTCTTAACTCCATACTGGAGGAACCAGGTTTGTTCTTAACCTTTTGACTGTTTCGGCCATATATACATGTATACGTCTTACCAGCCAGTGTTTCAGACGTATATATACTCAAAAATTCTAGCGGCTTCAAATCAAACGGGAGAAAGCTGGTAGGCCCACGTGTGAGAGAATGGGTCTGTGTGGTCAGTGTATAAAAAAAGTCCTGCAGCACGCAGTGCATAACAAGAAAAAAAAAACTGTGTTTAGATTAAAACACCGACTTTGAGGTGTATTTTTGTATAATATTTATGTATGTATTCTTGTTTTCTTGGTCTCATTTTGATAGAATGGAAAACATATTACAGACATAGAGATGATTTTGATTAATTTCTCGATGAAAACGACCTTGAAATTGAGCTCAAAGTAGCAGAAATGTTCGATTTTTGCAAATGTTCAAGAGCAAACCAATCACACCACACGTCCAATACACGCCAACTGGTGAGTCTAATATTCTTTTACAAGTGCGCTGATATTATTTATACCATTTTTACAATAATGCAGTAGTCTGCATAACAGTAAATCTTCTATTTTTTGTGTGAATAAAAAATCAAAATAGGAAGCAAGAGTAATATAAGAGGGGCCTGGAGATGTGACTGATGAACAGAGAAAATGTTATTTTAGTGCCAGGAATGTCTGCATTGTTTATTCTGGACCCTATTTTGAAATTGGCATCTTTTTTAATTTGCATGAAATTGGCCAAATTACCAATTTCTGACCACTTTATTGGGTAGCTGAAATCGGTAAATGCGAGGTTTCTTGTATTCAATCGATAGAACAAATGGAGTTGTAAAGAAATAGCTATGAGTTTTGCCGACTGGAACAATGGAATTGGCTGAAAATAAGGCTCAAAGTCGGTGAAATCGCCAATGCGTAACTATCACCAAGATCGCTAACTTTGCGAGAGCGTAATTCCGTAAGTTTTCCATCAAATATCATACTTTTGGTGTCATTAACGTCGGGAAAAGATTCTCTATCATTTCATGAGATAAAATAATTTTTTTTTTCGAAAATTTTGTGACAGAATGACAGTTTCAGAAATGGGCTTGCAACAGTCAAAGAGTTAACTCCACACTGGAGGAATCATGTTGGTTCTTAACTCCACAATGGAGGAACCATGTTGATTCTTAACCCTTTCAGGGTTTCGGCCGTACTAGTACGGCTTACGCCCCAGGGTTTTTGATGTACAAGTATGCCTAAATTCTAGCGCCCTCAAATCTAGTGAGAGAAAGCTGGTAGGCCTACATATGAAAGAATGGGTCTATGTGGTCATTGTGCGCAGTATAAAACAATTTCTGCAGCACACAGTGTGTAATGAGAAAAAAAAAACTTTGGCCGTGTTTTTGGATTAAAACAGCGACTTTGCACTGTATTTTTGTATGGTATTTATTGTTGTATTCTAGTTTTCCTGGTCTCATTTTATAGAATGGAAGACATTACAGAAATTGAGATGATTTTGAATGGTTTCACAATGAAAAGTACCTTGAAATTGAGCTCAAATTAGCAGAAATGTTCGATTTTTACCAAAGTTCAAAAGTAAACAAATCATGCCAAGAGTCCAAAACACATCAACTAGTGAGTCTAATATTCTTTCACAAGTGCGCTGATATTATTTATACCATTTCTACACTAATGCAGTAGTCTGCATAACAGTAAATCTTCTATTTTTTTGTAAGAATGAAAATTCAAAGTGGAAAGCCAAAGAAATATAAGAGGGGCCTGGGGATGTGACTAACGAAGAGAGAACTTGTTATTTTAGTGCCAGGAATGTCTTTCTTGTATATTCTGGACCCTATTCAGAAATTGACATTTTTTGAAATTTGTGTGAAATTGGCAAAATTGCTAAATTCTGACCACTTTATTGGATAGTTGAAATCGGTAAATGGGTGGTTTCTTGTACTCATTCGATAGAAAAAAATGGAATTCTAGCGAAATAGTTATGATTTTTGACGACTAGTAAACTGGAATTGGCCAAAAATAGGGCTCAAAGTGGGCAAAATCTCTGATGCGCAAACATCATCAAGACCACTAACTTCGCAAGAGCATAATTCTGTAAGTTTTCCATCAAATTTCATACTTTTGGTGTTATTATGATCGGGAAAAAATTCTCTATCTTTTCATAAGAAAAAATCATTTTTTTTTTTAAATTTGGGACCCTGAGAACAAGTCTCTGAGAGGGCCTGGGGACCCTGAAAGGGTTAACTCCACGGTGGAGGAACCATGTTGGTTCTTAACTCCACACTGGAGGAACCAGGTTGGTTCTTAACATCACACTGGAGGAACCAGGTTGGTTCTTACCTCCACATTGGAGGAACCAGGTTGGTTAACTCCACAGTGGAGGAACCAGGTTGGTTCTTAACATCACACTGGAGGAACCAGGTTGGTTCTTACCTCCACATTGGAGGAACCAGGTTGGTTAACTCCACAGTGGAGGAACCAGGTTGGTTCTTAACTCCATGCTAGAGGAACCAGGTTGGTTCTTAACTCCACACTTGAGGAACCTGGTTGGTTCTTAACTCCACGCTGGAGGAACCAGGTTGGTTCTTAACTCCATGCTAGAGGAACCAGGTTGGTTCTTAACTCCATGCTGGAGGAACCAGGTTGGTTCTTAACTCCACGCTGGAGAAACCAGGTTGGTTCTTAACTCCATGCTAGAGGAACCAGGTTGGTTCTTAACTCCATGCTAGAGGAACCAGGTTGGTTCTTAACTCCATGCTGGAGGAACCAGGTTGGTTCTTAACTCCACACTGGAGAAACCAGGTTGGTTCTTAACTCCACACTTGAGGAACCTGGTTGGTTCTTAACTCCACGCTGGAGGAACCAGGTTGGATCTTAACTCCACGCTGGAGGAACCAGGTTGGTTCTTAACTCCATGCTAGAGGAACCAGGTTGGTTCTTAACTCCATGCTGGAGGAACCAGGTTGGTTCTTAACTCCACACTGGAGGAACCAGGTTGGTTCTTAACTCCATGCTGGAGGAACCAGGTTGGTTCTTAACTCCACGCTGGAGGAACCAGGTTGGTTCTTAACTCCACACTGGAGGAACCAGGTTGGTTCTTAACTCCACGCTGGAGGAACCAGGTTGGTTCTTAACTCCACACTGGAGGAACCTGGTTGGTTCTTAACTCCACACTGGAGGAACCAGGTTGGTTCTTAACTCCACACTGGAGGAACCTGGTTGGTTCTTAACTCCACACTGGAGAAACCTGGTTGGTTCTTAACTCCATGCTAGAGGAACCAGGTTGGTTCTTAACTCCATGCTAGAGGAACCAGGATGGTTCTTAACATCACTCTGGAGGAACCAGGTTGGTTCTTAACTCCACACTGGAGAAACCTGGTTGGTTCTTAACTCCATGCTAGAGGAACCAGGTTGGTTCTTAACTCCACACTTGAGGAACCTGGTTGGTTCTTAACTCCACGCTGGAGGAACCAGGTTGGATCTTAACTCCACGCTGGAGGAACCAGGTTGGTTCTTAACTCCATGCTAGAGGAACCAGGTTGGTTCTTAACTCCATGCTGGAGGAACCAGGTTGGTTCTTAACTCCACACTGGAGGAACCAGGTTGGTTCTTAACTCCATGCTGGAGGAACCAGGTTGGTTCTTAACTCCACGCTGGAGGAACCAGGTTGGTTCTTAACTCCACACTGGAGGAACCAGGTTGGTTCTTAACTCCACGCTGGAGGAACCAGGTTGGTTCTTAACTCCACGCTGGAGGAACCAGGTTGGTTCTTAACTCCACACTGGAGGAACCTGGTTGGTTCTTAACTCCACACTGGAGGAACCAGGTTGGTTCTTAACTCCACACTGGAGGAACCTGGTTGGTTCTTAACTCCACACTGGAGAAACCTGGTTGGTTCTTAACTCCACACTGGAGAAACCTGGTTGGTTCTTAACTCCATGCTAGAGGAACCAGGTTGGTTCTTAACTCCATGCTAGAGGAACCAGGATGGTTCTTAACATCACTCTGGAGGAACCAGGTTGGTTCTTAACTCCACACTGGAGAAACCTGGTTGGTTCTTAACTCCATGCTAGAGGAACCAGGATGGTTCTTAACATCACTCTGGAGGAACCAGGTTGGTTCTTAACTCCACACTGGAGGAACCTGGTTGGTTCTTAACTCCATGCTGGAGGAACCAGGATGGTTCTTAACATCACTCTGGAGGAACCAGGTTGGTTCTTAACTCCACACTGGAGAAACCTGGTTGGTTCTTAACTCCACACTGGAGGAACCTGGTTGGTTCTTAACTCCATGCTAGAGGAACCAGGTTGGTTCTTAACTCCACACGGTGGCGAACACACACGGATTGGTTCTTAACTCCACGCTGGAGGAACCAGGTTGGTTCTTAACTCCACACTGGAGAAACCAGGTTGGTTCTTAACTCCACACTGGAGAAACCAGGTTGGTTCTTAACTCCATGCTAGAGGAACCAGGTTGGTTCTTAACTCCACACTGGAGAAACCAGGTTGGTTCTTAACTCCACGCTAGAGGAACCAGGTTGGTTCTTAACTCCACGCTGGAGGAACCAGGTTGGTTCTTAACTCCACACTGGAGAAACCAGGTTGGTTCTTAACTCCACGCTAGAGGAACCAGGTTGGTTCTTAACTCCACACTGGAGAAACCAGGTTGGTTCTTAACTCCACACTGGAGAAACCAGGTTGGTTCTTAACATCACTCTGGAGGAACCAAGTTGGTTCTTAACTCCACAGTGGAGGAACCAGGTTGGTTCTTAACTCCACACTGGAGAAACCAGGTTGGTTCTTAACATCACTCTGGAGGAACCAAGTTGGTTCTTAACTCCACAGTGGAGGAACCAGGTTGGTTCTTAACATCACTCTGGAGGAACCAAGTTGGTTCTTAACTCCACAGTGGAGGAACCAGGTTGGTTCTTAACTCCACACTGGAGGAACCAGGTTGGTTCTTAACTCCACACTGGAGAAACCAGGTTGGTTCTTAACATCACTCTGGAGGAACCAAGTTGGTTCTTAACTCCACAGTGGAGGAACCAGGTTGGTTCTTAACTCCATGCTAGAGGAACCAGGTTGGTTCTTAACTCCACAATGGAGGAACCAGGTTGGTTCTTAACTCCATGCTAGAGGAACCAGGTTGGTTCTTAACTCCACAATGGAGGAACCAGGTTGGTTCTTAACTTCACACTGGAGGAACCAGGTTGGTTCTTAACTCCATGATGGAGGAACCAGGTTGGTTCTTAACTCCACGCTGGAGGGACCAGGTTGGTTCATAACTCCATGCTAGAGGAACCAGGTTGGTTCTTAACTCCACGCTGAAGGAACCAGGTTGGTTCTTAACTCCACGCTGAAGGAACCAGGTTGGTTCTTAACTCCACGCTGAAGGAACCAGGTTGGTTCTTAACTCCACGCTGAAGGAACCAGGTTGGTTCTTAACTCCACACTGGAGGAATCAGGTTGGTTCTTAACTCCACAATGGAGGAACCAGGTTGGTTCTTAACTCCACGCTGAAGGAACCAGGTTGGTTCTTAACTCCACAATGGAGGAACCAGATTGGCTCTTAACTCCACGCTGGAGGAACCAGGTTGGTTCTTAACTCCACAATGGAGGAACCAGGTTGGTTCTTAACTCCACAATGGAGGAACCAGGTTGGTTCTTAACTCCACGCTGAAGGAACCAGGTTGGTTCTTAACTCCACGCTGGAGGAACCAGGTTGGTTCTTAACTCCACGCTGAAGGAACCAGGTTGGTTCTTAACTCCACGCTGGAGGAATCAGGTTGGTTCTTAACTCCATGCTGGAGGAACCAGATTGGTTCTTAACTCCACAATGGAGGAACCAGGTTGGTTCTTAACTCCACAATGGAGGAACCAGGTTGGTTCTTAACTCCACAATGGAGGAACCAAGTTGGTTCTTAACTCCACAATGGAGGAACCAGGTTGGTTCTTAACTCCACAATGGAGGAACCAGGTTGGTTCTTAACTCCACAATGGAGGAACCAGGTTGGTTCTTAACTCCACGATGGAGGAACCTGGTTGGTTCTTAACTCCACAATGGAGGAACCTGGTTGGTTCTTAACTCCACAATGGAGGAACCAGGTTGGTTCTTAACTCCACAATGGAGGAACCTGGTTGGTTCTTAACTCCACAATGGAGGAACCAGGTTGGTTCTTAACTCCACAATGGAGGAACCAGGTTGGTTCTTAACTCCACAATGGAGGAACCAGGTTGGTTCTTAACTCCACAATGGAGGAACCAGGTTGGTTCTTAAGATGCTAAAGTTTAAAATCATGTCTTTTTTTTTTAATCAGAAACTGCAAATGGCAGATATCTTTTCCTAGAAATAGATTCACTTACATTTATTTACTTCTGTACAGGCCTAATTTATTTACTTCAGTATAGGCCTAATTTATGAGCACTAAAATGATGGTATATAATACGTAGAACGAATTTGTTCCCATAAGGAATATTGTGAATTAGATTAGCCCATTTCAGACCTCCAAACATACACGTACAAACGCACTTACATAAATACACTTAAATAATTGGTCGCATTGGGAGCTGATCGTAAAGCGGGGGTCCACTGTATTGTTTGAACGAGTGAATTGTGCAAAAGTTAAGGCCTTTCCTGGCCTCATCTTTGTGCCCCTCCTGTCCTCTGATTTTACTTGATCCATGGTAGTGCAGCACAAAACGGGAAATATTCTTTTTTCAAAATGCCGGCTGTATGTTACTGAGGCAGTATTATGTAAATGTGAAAAACAATAAAGTTTTCTTTTTTTTCAACAGATCGGCCGTATCCCACTGAGGTAGTGTGATCTAAAAAGAAAAATGAAAGTTTCTCTTTTTAAATTTAGTAACTTATACAGAAAGGGTTACTGACCCTTTGCTTCCGGTAATTTAGCTGTCTCTTATAACACACATAGCTTACGGAGGAAGAACTCTTTTCCACTTTCCCATTTATTCAACAGCTATCTTGAAACATGTTGACAGACAAAACAGCAACTACCCTGGGAGGTGTTGCTGTCCTGCCCTGTGAGTGAGAAATGGAAATCTCTTTAAGTATTTTACATACTGGAAGAAGTACTGGTTCCTTTCTTTTCTGTTTTGTGAGAACATAAAATGAAGGGTAAATTTTGCTATTATGACTTCTTCAACCAGTACACACTACACACATGCAATTATATAACTAGTTAATGGCCACAGTTCGACCAAAACATTGTCATAAGTTTCTCCTCTGTGTTGGTTATTTGAGTAGTATTCCGTTTTTTTCTTTGTGCATGTATGTGTTTATTCACATTCATCTAATTTCTTAATAATTCTTGCCTTTGTAGTGTTTCCTGCACTTTCATGTGGAAACAAGTTAGAATCCTTTCCCAGTAATCAGTTCATGTTGTGGAATGTCACTAAAGTGTGGGCAGCAAGGGGATAGTAATGTCTTCTTCTCTATCTATTACGTACTAAAATGACAAAGAGGGAAATTTGAAAGGGCTAAAATATGTTCAGAAAAATGCAGAGCATAGATATTGGTTAGAAATTTATATACATTCATTACTATTTTTCAGAGTGGCTTAAGAAGATTTTTGGAAGTCTTCACTACCGCATAGTTTTGATAAATGTGAGAGATTTTGTGCGGTGTAATATTACAGCATATACACCAGTGGAAGTTGTGCTTGATAACACTTCCTGTGCCTTCCTTGCTATCCCTGACCAGAATGTGCGTATTGGTCATGTTGCCCTACACCACAAGAGTAAGTCATGCCTTGAATTCTAATTTAAATGCTTTCTTCAATACGTAATTACACTAGCCTATACACTTTAACTCTATCTCATTCAGACACTAAATTGGTTGTATGGAGATAACTTTGATGTACCCAGGATATTCTCTTCTGGAACAACTATTTTAATTAACTGGATGACTGAAGAAAGTCATTAATGGCCACATGTTGATGTCTTCTCCATGGGATGTGGAACGGAATTTTTCCTCCATAAGTCATGTGTGTCGTAAGAGCCGACTAAAATGCCGGAAACAAAGGGCTAGTTACCCCTTCTCCTGTGTAAATTAGTAAATTTAAAAAGAAAAATTTAAGTTTTTCTTTTTAAACCTTTCATTTTTTTTTAAAGTCACCCTGCCACGATGGGATACGGCTGGTTCGTTGAAAAAAAAATGTTGATGTCTGTCTCTCAAGTAAGATGTCATATATGAGAGAGCATGTCCTGTTAATCCATGATGCTCTGATTTGAGTTGCAGAAGTTGTATTGAAGACTTATTTTAAGTCAAAAAAGACGTCTAAATGGATATTTAATATTTTCAAAAGAGGAACAAATTAAGCCCATCATTTATATTATTGCATCATCAGTACTCCATCCCAGCCTGAAGACAAACTAACATGAGTTAAGGATTGTGTTTGTTTATGAAACTGCATATTTGTTTATTTATATTTTTGCAAGGATTTTAGACAATAAAGGCAAGTTAGAATTTGGTCCATAATTATTGACTGCTGTTGGGTCACCACTTTTGTAGACTGGCTTAATTCTTGCTTCTTAACCCTTAAACTGTCCAAGCAGATCTACGTTCACATGCGTAGTGCTCCAAAAGTAGATCTACTTTTTTTTTACATATTTTCAAATCTTTCTTTCTTCTTTCAACACACCGGCTGTATCCCACTAAGGCGGGGTGGCCCAAAAAGAAAAACAAAAGTTTCTCCATTCAAATTTAGTAATATATACAGGAGAAGGGGTTACTAGCCCCTTGCTCCCGGCATTTTAGTCGCCTCTTACAACACGCATGGCTTACGGAGGAAGAATTCTGTTCCACTTCCCCATGGAGGTAAGAGGAAATGAACAAGAACAAGAACTAGAAAGAAAATATAAGAAAACCCAGAGGGGTGTGTGTATATATATGCTTGTACATGTGTGTGTAGTGTGACCTAAGTGCAAGTAGAAGTAGCAAGACATACCTGAAATCTTGCATGTTTATGAGACAGACAAAAGACACCAGCAATCCTACCATCATGTAAAACAATTACAGGTTTTCGTTGTACACTCACTTGGCAGGACGGTAGTACCTCCCTGGGCGGTTGCTGTCTACCAACCTACTACGTAGGATATTTTCAAATAAAAAAATAAAAAAAAGTAGATAAAAGTTTTTTTACATGTTTTCAAATGTAAAAAAAAAAACATCTACTTTTTCTACATACTTTCTAATGTTGAAAAATGTATAAATACATTTGGACCGTTTACGGGTTAAAGTATGTGAAGGAAAGTTTGGCTTCACTTGATTTATTGAACAATGTAATAACAAATGAGAAGCTTTCTTGTATGTATATTTTTTTTTATTGACACATCGGCTGTTTCCCACTAAGGCAGGGTGGCCCGAAAAAAAAAGACTTTCATCAAATTCAGTACATCAGGTCTGCAGAGGCGTGCTACACTAAGTTATAAAATGCCTGCATCCTTCAGAGTGAGGCATGTACTTGAGTCCGCCTGCTGGTTTCCTGAATTCCTTCAAAATGTACTTTGCTCACATTCCACAGCACGTTACGTTGGTTTGTCCCTTATTACTTTGATTGTAGGTTCTCACACATGTTCTAGTGTGGGTAGCTTTTACTAATGGCCTTATTTGTTAGGGGTAAACTTACTTATGTAATATCTTGAGTGTCTCTGATACTTTTCCGCCCTCTTCACAGGTTATGTAATACCTATAAAAATATAACTGTATTTCAAAAGATATGTACGAATTACAATCACAGCCTCCATTTTCAAACAAATTACAACTCCATCCTGTGCTCACATGGTGTGTTACCAACACTCTTCCTTCTCTTCCTGAATAACTCTGGGATTAACCAGTGTTTTGACATACTTTAGTACATGGGTTGGGTGGCCAAAAGCTAATTAAAAAACTCCCCTGAGCAACATATGCCCCAAAAGATGGAGAAGGACCCAGAGATCCTGCCGGTGAAGGTCAGCCCAGGAGGAGAGTCGGAGAGAGGGAGAGAGAAGTAAGCCTACTAAGCTCTCCCAGCAAAACAAAGACTTTGCAAGCACACTTCCATTACACCAATTACTACCACACCTTAATTTTACTTTTACAAAAAGAAATACAAACTTTATAAACTACTTATTTAAATTGTGTGTTTATGTGCTATGTATAACCTATATATTGAGAACAAAGGTTTGACCCAGCGCCTCTCAGTCATAGGTGATCATTTCTGACATTTAGAGCAAAGTCCCATCAATTACAATAAATTAAATTGTTTCCAGTGTAAACTGTTACTTATAAATACATGTCTTGAGGTCCATAGCCACATAACACCCCACCTCCAGCGAAGTCTCCAAATGCTATGCCGTGTCTCAGGATACGGTAGTAAAAAGTATATTGCTTAAGTCTGAAGGCAGGTAAACAAGACATAGTTAGAAATGCTACTATTTCCTGCAACCATAACTACTTCTTCACTTTACTGATTATTTACAACAGATTGGCAGGCATTTATAAAACCCATTTTACCATACCCAGTCCACAAGGGTGTAAACTATTTAATTAGTGACTTTTAACATACACATACATGCAAAATTGGCACCAGGCCCACGTGAAAGCGCACCAACAGGTCGTGCCTGCTACGGTAATCCCGCTAAACTGGTACTCAGGGTGATCTTCCTGCAGGGTCGAGAGTAGAGCCAAACCAGAGCAGCAGGTGTAACAGGCAGGTACTTCCACAAACATGTAAGTGTCTCTCACTGGTGCCCCGAACCAAACAGTGAGACTTCCAGTCACACTCACGTCCTTACTGGTCAGGCACTTAAGCCCATCTCCGAGGTCCCACTCCACACAGTCTCACAACTTATGAAGAGGAGGCCTGAATAGAATATGGAGGGTCCAGGGACCACAAGGCGGCGTGGGACCGTTTTGATAAATAGAGCACACCAAGACACAACATCACGTACCTTCCTGAACGTCTCATGTTACCGAAGGTTGTCAACCACTGCCTCAACTCACATTTACGTACACCCTGACCCTCGTCACACTTTTGGCTCTGACTCGACCCCTTCACAGTCAGATGGCTGGTAGAGAGTACTCAGGCTCGCTGAGAGTTCACCACTGCAAAAACAAGGTCAGCACAAGACAAACACTATGTACAAAGTACGCACCATGCATCTACATGAAACATCTAGAGAGAGCATCAGCAACCACATTCTCTGAGCCTTTTATATATTTGACTTCCAAATTAAAAGGCTGTAGGAACAAAGCCCATTTTAAGAGTCTGATTTTAGTCACTATACACAGGAACAGGATGAAGAGATCCTGAGACATGTACAAATGCTGAATAGCCAGCCCCAAAATGAAAATTTTCTTTCCTGTGGTAAAATGTTGACATTTAAACTTAGAAGGTTGTTCATAGACAGTAACAGTTCTGCAACCTCTCGCAGTGCAACAACAAACACCAAAGACATCTCTTTGCACCCAGGTTGGATACATCAAGTTTACACAAACACCATCACGTTCCATCTCACACACAAATTTTAAACACACAATGAACACAATTTGCATTACACACATTAAAATGGTGCTTGAACACAGACCATGGAAATCACATCTTCCATGTTTTAGCTTATTTAAAATGTTTGCATCTTTTAGTGCATAAGTATCAATCTTTCTAATTCTGTAAACCTTAGTTGTTAAACGTACTCTGTGGTAGTCAGTGTTTATGCCCAGGGTGCCATCTAATTTGGGAACCATGAAGCATGGGAATGCCCACTGACTCTCACTAAGCACTACAAACTGGTGTTGGAAGAATTTCACTCCTTCCTCCATCTCCAATTTTTCATACAGATTTTTCCCACACAAAAATTGTTGAATTGGCTCAGTTTCCTTAACAATTTCCTCATGGAGTTTCAACTTTTCCCCCTTACTGACATCTCAAACTTTTATAAAGTTCCAAGGTGGCTGAGCCAACTCTCCAACATTTTTCTCATTAAAACCAAGCATGCATTTCCCAAAATCTTTTACACACATGTTATTTCTTAAATACGCTTTTGGTATTAAATACAGATTATTGTTTTGCAGCCCTTTACATTCCATTAAAACATTGGTCTCTCTGAATTTTTGACATAACTTCCAACCCTTTAACCGGTTACTGTGTACACTATACTCATTCTTTTCTAGCTTGGGGGTGTGGGTTTTATATCTAACCCCTGGGAACTTCCCCCACAACATGTTCAGCTCACAGCAAATTGCCATTCAGATTTTTACATGAATTGGCTCCAGTATCAGCACTTCCTCTCCAGCCTCCAGAGTATCATGGTCCACATTATGGTCCCACATCATCATCCTGGTGGTTGATGGGCACGTTCACTGGTACCATCCACCTCATACGAGTCAAACAGTGTCTGAAACTGAGAAAAAGCTCCGAGGGGGGGAGCATCACCATCCTCCCCAAGCCAATAGCTCAGAGATTCCAGAGTGCTTCCCCACTCAGCAAATACAAAGAAAGGGATCCTCTCATCCCAGTTGTTAGTATTGTCTATACCATAGGCTTGCATCATTGTCTTGAGAGTTTGATGTAATTTCTCTATTTCCCCTTGAGATGGAGAGTGATACACAGTTGAACACTGAGGCTCTACTTTTAGTCCCTTCAAAACATTTCTAAAAGACTTTGAGGTAAAGTTAGGCCCTTGGTCTTTTTGCACTGCTTGCGGAAAACCAACATGAAAAAAGAACTTCATCAAAGCCCTTAAGACTACACGAGCCGTTATCTTATGCAGAGGGGCTGCTTCAAGGTACCTGGTAG